TTCACGGTTAGTTAAACTTGGATCTTCACTAACAATATTATGACACAACGGTGCGTTTTGAAAGTGAGGACTCCTTATATACTTCTAACAATTGTTCATAAATTTCTTTCGCTTTTAAAACTTTTGCGTTTTGAAAGTGAGGACTCCTTATATACTTCTAACAATTGTTCATAAATTTCTGTCGCTTTTAAAACTTTTGAAAACAAAGAATTCAATCACTGCGCGATATTCAAGTTTTTCCATTTTCCTCAAACGAGTCAACTTCAAATGACCTGTAAACAAAGAATTATTTGACTGAATGATTTGTAACTTTGCATGTTTTTTTCACAACAGATGTACCAACTTAAGAAAAAAAAAATTGGAGCTGGTATTGTTATTTCTTGGTGGTGGTTTTCAACCAACCTGTATTAATACGATTATTCTAGTATTCAATTTAAGCATAAAACAGTATAAGATGTCATCTTATTTTATTTTGAAATCTCTTTCATTTACTATATATGCTAATGGTTTTATGAATCCGAAGATCGCTAATAGTTACATGATAGGGGAGCGTGGCTATTACTTGTTGTAGTTAATTTTCTAGCTATTTCATTAATTAGCGAATTGTAATGCAACCACCGAATTTGATTGGCATGGCATGGTTTTAGTAATTTACGAGATGTGTACATCGAAACTTTTGAAACCTTGCATTCCTTCCCAATGTGACCCTTTGTATTGAATTTTCTAAATTGAATTTTCTAAAAAAAGTATGTGCATCGTCCTGGATTGCAGTCATAATAAATAAAAAATAACATGAATCTTAAAAGAATGTTTCAATAAAATGTGATGCACTTTCTTTACATGTTTTTTCGTGGAATATTTGTGTATGCAATTGCAAACCTTTATTGTTTTTATAGGTAGGTAGGTAGGTAGAGTGGCTGTCTAACGACACACCTAGGCCTATAGGAGGCCCATTATGATACCACCGGGCGATTTCGGTGTCTAATGTTGCGCAAAAGACACCACCTCCCACTCGATTATCCAGTTTGGATCCATCCGTGTAGATGCTAATTTCTCTATTCCTGTCCACCTCGTCCCTTTCCCACTCCTCTCTTGTGGGGAAGGCAATATTGTGGACCGAATTTAGCTTCAATTCTATTGGATTGCGGATATCCGTGGTTTTGGGTAGGAACGGGAATATACTGAGTATCCCTAGAATGCCCCTTATTGCATGCGACTAGTTGGGAGGATTCGCTCAGTCTGAGAGCTGACTTTGCTGCCACTTGCTTACAGAACAGGTCTGTTGGCAGTAAACGTAGAATGACGTTTAGAGCCTGGCTTGGCGTTGTTCTAAGAGCTAATGCACATACTGGCTGCTCTTTGTATACTTTCCATACGCTTTACCGCGTATTTCTTTTCCATTATTGGCCACCATACCAACATACCGTATGTCATGATTGGTTAGACAACTGCTGTATAGAGCCAATAAGTTACCCGAGGCGTTAGCCCCCATTTGGGGCCCACCATCCTTTTACAGGTGTAGAGTGCTGTGGCTGCCTTCTTCACCCTAGCATCCAGGTTTTGTTTCTTTGTAAGCTTCCTGTCTAAGGTTAGTCCCAGGTAGCTTGCCTTATCTCCAATTGTTAGTCTGACACCATTTTTTAATGGCGCCGTAACTTCTGGAGTATTATGTTTTCTGGTGAACAATACTAGCTCTGTCTTACCAGCATTTAAGTTTAATCCGCACGATACAGCCCAACGATTTATATCGTCCAAGATCGTTTGCATAAGGTTTGCGAGAGTATTCGGGAATTTACCTCTAACCCATACTGTCACATCGTCAGCGTAGGCCACAACATGTACCCCCATCTTTTCTAGATCCAACAGCAACTTATTCATTGTCAGGACCCAGAGAAGTGGGGATAACACGCCTCCTTGAGGTGTACCTCTTTGGACAGATCTGCACATTGTTGACGCTCCCAGCGTTGAAATTATTGACCTGCTCTTGAGCATCTGTTCAATTAATTTTCTGAGAGCTTCAGAGATGTCCAGATCCTTAAGCGCACTCAGTATGGCCCTAGGCTGGATATTATTGAAGGCTCCTTCTATATCTAAGAAGGCAAATAGAGTGTATTCTTTAACTTCCAGAGATTTTTCAATCTCCGCCACCACTGATCTTAGTGCTGTTATCGTGGATTTTATTTTAGAATACGCATGCTAAGAACCAGCCAACTTTTCTGTATTCAGTTAGTTTCTTATATGTAATTATATTAGTCTTTCCAGCGTTTTTAGAAGGTATGAGGAGAGGTTAATTGGCCTGAAGTCCTTTGGACTTGTATGCGAGCTTTTGCCTGCCTTTGGTATGTATATTACCTTGACTTCCCTCCAAAGCGAAGGGATATAGTTTAATTGCAGCGCCCCCTTAAGAATGGCAATTAGCCAATCCATTATGTAATTCTGCGACTGCTGTAATTGAGCCTGGAATAGACCGTCTGGTCCCGGCGACTTGAAGAGCTTAAAGCTATTTATTGCCCAGCGTACGTTGCCTTCTGACATTGTGTTTATAAGAGTGGAGTCTATTTCCGCTCCCCTGTCTTGAGTATATTCAGCAGTATGGCTTTCAGAGCTGCCTGGGAAGTGGGTATCCATTAGTAGTCCCAGGGACTCTTCACTGGATACCGTCCAACCTCGGTCTGGCTATATATCAACACAAAAATATTTCTATGAATTTCTTTTTGCTCTCTTAACTTCCTTTTTGTATGACCTAAGGAGGTTGTAGTAATAATCCCAGTCTGACTCGCCTTGGGATTGCTTAGCTAAATTGAACTGCTTTCTGTATTCTTTCTGTAGCTTTTTACGTTCTAGAGATCACCAGGGGGGCCTAATTCTACCCCTACTTCTTGTGACAAGCCACTTCAAATGCTTGTCGGCACGATTCCGTGAGTCGATTAACGCGGTTATCTAGATCCTCCTTGCTATTGGGCTGAAGCGGTAGAATCATAGGGATACGTTTTTCCAGCTCTTGCATGTGCACCTGCCAGTTCATTTTCCTATGATTCCTGAAGTCGGTTTCTTGTAATAAACGTTGGCGTGCTTCCCTTATTACACACCAGTAACTTAGTGCCTAATAGGTAATTAAAGAGACACTCACCTCTCCCCTCTGTCATTGACATCTGTGCTGCCCCAGATTGTGTGATGCGCGTTTGAGTCGCATCCAAATATCGTCATGCACTTTAATGCCTCGCTATCCCGTACCACCTCTTTTACCATCAGAGGTGGTACCAGCTCTTGCTCGTATGGCATATAGCACGACACCAGCCGGTAACTTTGTAGAAGACGCACTAACTATTGTTATATCTGCGTCTTCCTGAAAGTCGCTTAAAAGCTCTCTCTCTGGCAGCAAGCTCAGACCCGGAAGAAGAACACTCACCTTGCTCTATACTTTCCGTGTCGCTCGAGGACTCCATAGGATCTTCCTCTACTTCGCATATCGCTTTCTCCGATGCCAGAGGGTCTGCAGCATCGGCGTCTGACTTGTAGGGCGTTATCCTCACTTTCGTGAACCCGTAATTTATCTCCCCGCCACTTTTCGCCAGCGGTTCGATGGATTCTTTCGTTAATAACAACAGAATCTGCATCGTGGCCCTTTTGGTCTCCACGGCAGATTCTGCTACGCTGTCCTCAAATGTCTTGACGTATTTCCACCCTTCCGTGGGTAGGCTCGGGTTGCAGGCTCTTATGAGCTGCATAATCTGGTCCGGCTGTGATGGTGTAGCCGGGATCCATACCCTTGCCTAAGGTATGTCCTTTTTGTCCACTGCTACCAATTTTGCCCCGCGGTATACCTCTCCCACCTTGGCTATAGCAGTTTTGAATAGAGCGACCGATCTCTCGTCGTCGCAAGCAATCATTTTTATCTGGCCCTGGTACTAGCCGGCATCTGTGTATGACGGTGGCGGACTCGGATTGCTTAGTAGCACTTCCAGCGCCATATTTGTCAGCGCAGCCTGCACCCATTTCCATTGGGCTCTGGGGATTCTTCCTTCGGGATCTCCCTCATCCAGAACGACAATGAGAGTTCGGTTCCTTGCCACTTCTGCAAATGATTTGGCGGGCGTTACGCCCTTTGTCTTCGGCCTCTTGGCTGCCGGCTTAGCCTCTTCAGCTGACCTCTGTCGCTTGGCTGCCTTTACCGTCGGCTCTAGCTTAAAATTGGGTATGACTGCTCTCGCGCAGCCAATCGATGCTTGGAGCTCCTTCGTTAGCTCCTCTTTCGTTGGCAGCTTTAACTCTACCAACCTTAGTAGGTATGTGGCGCGTCGCCGCATACTTTGCCTTTGCCGGGTCCTGAATGCTAAATTCATGGTAAGGCTCCTTATCTGTATGCTGTGCTATTGAGGAACACCGAATACACAGATAAGAAGTCTGACCTTAGCTAGATTCCTCACGTTTACGGCAGGGGCAGACTGTTACCAGCTCATCCACGCTTGCATCGTGAATCTGTGGTATCTATTACCAGTCGGCACCCTCGGGGAGGGTTCAGTGGGGGATTTTGACCAACCAATTGTTTTTATAAGTACAACTTTTCTTTGTGGTTGAAAAAAGTAGTTTATAACATCTATTGAGAAATCTTGTAAAGGAGCTAAGTTATGATCCTTCAACAGTTAGTGACTGTAATTTTGAAATATCACTGTTTTGGTGAGTCCAATTGTCAATTTTTTTTTATTATGTTGATATACAGAAATTTCTGAAGACACCTCGCATTGTCAATTATTACCAGTTTTCCTCGAAATTATCATATATATAGTATCCTCAAGGGTACTTCGCTGACTTATGTGACTCTGTTTTGTTACCTTTATAAACTATAAAAGGTCTGCTGAGGAAATGCTTGCATTCCCAAAAAAGTTCACCGTGGATCGAGAATTTTCCTTGACATATGATAAAAGGCTAAGATTTGATATTATTAACTTCGTTCAATGTAATCAAATGTTTATACACGTTTTATTGGGTTTATATTTCAGATTAGCACATCCAAATATCGTTCAGCTTTTGGAGACATTTGAAGACAAATGGAAAGTTTACCTGGTGATGGAATTGTAAGTAGAAAATATGTATCATAAATTTACTTAAAATATATTAAACCTTGGTCGTACTAAATCGTCTTTCAATTATCGGAATTCGGCAAGTGAATAACTTCTATCTTTGTTGTTACGTAAGCTATCTCAGACTTTCAAAATTATATTCTGTGTTAAGTGCGCTTAATTATTTATTTTAAAAATGGAATGAAAACTTTATCGGCGAAATAAATAGGTAGTTTTGCAACAAGCAACAATGTTAACTTCGATTGCACCAAAGGTAGAATCCCCTTCACAAATGAAAGTGTCCATACAAGAATTTGATTTTGATCGATCAGTTTGTATGACAGCTATTGTAGCGTTGCCTTGGGAAATTATTCATGCCAAACTTGTGAAATGTTTTTCATACAAAAACATAATTTTGATTGCTCAGTTTATGTAGCAAATTTATTTGATAGTGGCCCGATATCGGCGGTGCCGACAAATAAACAGCTTCTTGGAAAGAAAAAATGCGTGGAAAATTTCAAAGCGATATCTCAAAAGGAGGAGCTAGTTCGCTTATATACAGAAAGACAGACATGGCTAAATTAACTCAGCTCGCAACAATTTTTTGTATCTTTTGTATAAAGAAGGATGAGTATATTATGAAATCGATAGACTCAGAAACTATTTGACCGATCATTATGAAAATTGATATTCCCATTGACGTAACTCGCCACCAGGTGGGGCTGCATGTACCGACTTCTGTATAGTTTAACCGGTTGTTACGAAAATTAGTACGCGCATGTATTTTTTTTTTATGGAGAAGACGATTATGCTATCCCCATTGACGCAACTCGCCTGCTGCAATGTACCGACTTCAGTATCGCTTAAATGATTGTTATGAAAAATAGTATGCACTTGTACATGTATTTTTTAATGGAGAAGACAATTATACCATTGACGCAACTCGCTGTTAGGTGGTGCTGCGATGTATAGATTAAATAATAAAATTCATTCATAAAAAAATGAACTAACTTCAGTCAATAAACCTTAAATAAGAACACAAATATATAATATCAATAAGTTGTAAAAATTATTTTATGGTAAGATGATTATACACAGAAAAAAGTAATTAGTTATTTAGTTATTGGTAAGCATATTTATAATTTTGGTTATAATGAATAGTTAGTTAACAATTTAAGTTCAAGACAAATAACTAGTCGCTTTCTTATATAAATAGATTAAACTGACAATACACTCTTGATAATGTTTACAATGCCACATACCGGAAAATCGACGAGAAACGCGATGCGTCTTAAAACAATAAGAAATTCTGCAACTAAAAACTAAAACCAATTTTAACAAAAAAGAATTCAATTACGATGTGTGCATTGGTTTAATGGATGTAGTGAACATTGTCAAGCTAAGAAGTTTAAAAGAGAAACTGATGGCTACGTGCGACTTCAATGGTAAAGTTTATTTACCACCATTGATTGAACCACCAGAACCTCTTTTAACTTACGTAACTGGCACTACTAAGGAGTCTAAGCGTTTTCCTCAGCAGAAAATACAATTCATGTCTTTAAATGACATCGTTTGGAGCAACAAATATTGTAAAATTTAATAATTTTACGCCTACATTTAAAGTGCAAGGACAAGTATAAAATCAGATTAGTTCACTACTTTCAGTATCTGAAGAAAATCCCCAGTTTTTGCAGATTTATTTCATAGATAATGTAGAAAAAGAAATTGATCGACAGTGCACGTTCACGGGAAATCATCGTTAAATTACGGATTGTGCTGCATGAAAATATTTGTTTAGCTAGAGATTTTAAATTTGCTTTAAAAGCTGAGACAGCAGATGATTTCAAACTCATTATTAGAGCATGAAAGACGCTTCAATGCTCCTTTGGCTCCTGTTGCAGCGATAATTGTCGGTACAGAAATTACAAGACGAGATATTGTTATCACTAAACGAGATAAAGCCAAGCAACGTGTCGCTGAAACACACAGGTCGTATGACGTCCTTCAATATCCAATTCTATTTCCGCGAGCAGAAGATGGATATCATCTCAAACTGATCTCACAACAGGCGCGATGACATTAAAAGGAGTTAGTTGTAAGGATTTTTATGCATATCGTATCATGATTAGAGATAATCAATCTGATTATATTCTGAAGTGTCGCCAACTATTTTAACAATTTATTGTTGACATGTACGCCAAGGTCGAGAGCGAGCGCCTAACCTACATTCGATACAACCAATCGAAACTTCGAGCAAAAGAAAAAAAATTACGAGATACAATATCGAATGATAAAGTAGCTACTGATATTGGACAAAGAGTAATAAATCTACAAAGCAGTTCTGCAGAAGAAAACGCGGCACAAAACACTATTTGGTGGCTGGCATATTTTCTACTAACGCACTGGAAAGTGTCTACACTGATCATCCTAATAATAGCGAATACTACTATTTACGAATGCTGCTTCACGTAGTTAAAGGGCCGACATCGTTTCAAAGAATCAAAACTATCGATGGTCAGAAGTGTCAAACATATAGAGAAACGTGTTTCACACTTGGTATACTTGAACATGATGAACATTGGAACCATACATTAACAGAAGCATCTGAAATACGTCACCCTCACCAAATCCATACTCTATTAGCTATAATTTTAACTACCTGTGCACATTCTGATCCGATAGATTTATGGAAAAAACATAAACAGAGTATGAGTGAAGATATATTGATGCGAAAACGTCAAGACAATCCAAACCTGGATATACAGTACTCTGAAAACATTTTTAACAAATCGTTAATTTTACTTGAAGATATATGTGTATCAGTTAATAATATAAGTCTTAATCAACTGGGCCTTTTTTCACCGGATTTATTAAGAGAAAAACAATACGAGGTCGAAGCTTTAGAAGATTACGTTGAGACTCAGAAAAATATCTTAACAAATGATCAAAGACTTGCGTATAACTCAGTTATGGAATATCTACAGAAGGAAACGGTGTAATTCTTTTTCTTGATGCATCAGGAGACACTAGAAAAACGTTCCTGCTTAATTTGATACTCGCAGAAGTTCGAAGCATGCATGAGATTGCTATGGCTGTGGCATCATCAGAGATCGCAGCTATGTTACTCGATGGGGGACGCACGGCACATTCAGCTTTTAAGCGGCCATTGAACTTAAATGTAACTGAAAGGCCAGTTTGTAACATCGGAAAATCATCTGGAATGTCTGGTGTCTTAAAGAAATGTCAACTCAAAAAGGATATTTTTTTAATTTTTTGTGGGATATAGGTGTTATGACTAGAAGCTAACACTGCAAAGAAAATGTGTGCCAATTTTCATAAGAATCGGTGAAGAGCTTTCCGAGTTGTCTTGCACGCCAGTTTTCAAAAAGTCGTTTTGAGAAAATCGTGTTTAAAGTTTCGAACATGGAAACTTCACGGTTACAAAGACTTACCGTCTAATCAGCGATTCCAGCACCATACAGAAGTCCTTCGGTGCGTTTATAGTATTTGTTTTTTTTCCTAAGCTCTTCCTGATATCCTTGACGAGCTTTTTTAGTCGTCACAGAGCTGCGGCGATTTTCTCGGTTCACTCTTTGTTCATCAATTTTATTTTTGCAAGACATGCATTGGTGAACAATCACCAGCTGTAATGAGTTCATAACTCGTAAAATATATTTGTAACCGTCATTAAATAATCCAACAGATATAAAAGCACTAATTTCAACAATTTTGAATCCAGAATTGAGATGTTTCGTACAAAGTCGCTAAATAGTAGAGTTGAAACTTTCGTTTGCATTTTGCGTGTGATCGCCCAAACATCTTTCAAGTAATTCATCCCTGGATAAATCTTCAAAAATGGGCTTTACATGGGTTTGGACATCAGTATGTAATGGAGCAGGGTGTTTATTTTTTTTTTGAATCTTCACCCAAAGCTTCAGCTTTACACCACTTGCACCAGCTTCCGGGACCGGACGGGCAATACTTGTGTCTTGGTTTGTCGTCTGTAGAGCACATATGATAGTATGTGGCCATAATTGCATTCTTCATATCTTTAATGCAGTATACGTTTCTTCGGATAGATAATCCACAATACAAAGACATTTTTTTAACCAAAGCTTCAGTAAGTTTACCTCTTTCACCCAGGTGATTATCAGGTCTAGTTTTCTGAGTCGAGTGCCCATTCTTTTCTGAACGTGCCCAATGCACTCGCTTTTTACAACTTGGCAATCTTCGCCGTACGGATTCAAATCTAGAATACCTCTAAAGGTTTTCGAATCCCCATCCTCTATGTAATTCCCGTACTTGACGCCAAATAATACTTCAGAGCATGAAAACATTTCTTTAACCGCATCGACTTCCATCGCAAGAGAAGAACCTTTATGGTTTTCTTGTCAGCTTGGTTCGTGTTCTTCAAACCTTTCCTGGTATTCTTTAGTATCAGTTTTATTTTTCCAAAGAACAATACCTGCACAGAATTAACTTTTAACGACTAAATTAATAACTTTACCACAATAATATCCAATTAAAGTTGTGACTCCATATAATGACTTGAAACCCCACTTCTTCCAGGTGCCATCTCCAGAAACTTTTAAATTTAGAATTGGCCGTTCGTGCTTTTCATTTTCAGCCTTTTCTTCACTGACAGCTTTTACAGACGAAGCTCGAAATGAAGATTGCGTAATGCTATGTATCAACGAGATAATATTTTGTAGGAACTTTCAGTGATACCGTTACAAATGTCCATCATGTTACAAAATAAATTTATTCCTTCTCTAGCAACACCTAAAAGACGCATAACAAACACAGTTCTGCGATTGATCTCAAACCCATTATTAATTAACGGTCCTGAATTATTAACTGTGCGACAACACTTGCACAGCACGGCGATTTTAAACTCTAGTCCTCGGCTGCCACTCTCGTTAAATGTTACTGGTAATTTACAATCATGACATATTAACATCTCTGAAAGAGCTGTGAACACTGTAAACTGTCAATAAAACGATACCCATGATGTT